ATCGATTCCGAGCAAGGACAAATGAGCCCGCACCACTTTTTGCCTAGGGACGTTTCGTTTTCAAGGGACTTTACAATTCTGGTTAGAGGTTGAACACCTGGCGCATCTTCAATCACTCAATCGATACCTATTCTTTTCATGAGATTTTTTTCTCTGAGCAGTGCTTCTAAATCATCTACATCTAAGAGCCAGAAATTCGTGGAGGATCCATTTTTCTTATTTAAGAGCTGCCCACCCATACAGTAAGTTTCGGTGGTAAATCACTTGGCCAAACACGTCCATTTCATGTTCACTTCCTACAACTATTGCCAACTTAATAATCCCAGGATTGCACCATATGGGTATCAGCGTCCAAAAAGGATGGAAAAATTCCAAAAAAATTTAAGAAAAAAATTTATGATACAAAGGGGATTGAGCCATGAAGGTCGTCGCGCCACTGGCGCCTCCTGCCACTGCGCCATTTCATCTTTGAGATTCATCATTGTGATTCCATCAGCTTATGTTAATTTTTTAGATAACAGTACCACAGAACTCGGTGGCGAACGGTGAGAAGAGTGAGGAGTACAAGAATAAAAAGGTGAGGAGTAACTGTCGTATGGCTCGAGGAGCAAATCGATAATTGATTGATTGGTCACCATGTCGGAAACACGTAATGAATGGGTGCCGTTTGGGAGATCCACGTTGCGGCGACACGTATCGATTGGCTAGTAATTTCTGGCTTGCTGAGTCGACATACCCTAGCACTGTCATGTCAAATAGATTAGGTCCCAGTAGTGACTTCATGCGCGTGACGCTAGCGGTAACGTCTAGTCGCCGCAACGTGGACCTCCCGACCGGTAGTTGATGAGGGTTTGTTTGAGAGGATGGTGAAAGCCTTGGATCCTTCCTAATCCAGGAACAGGAATTATAGTCTTGATCAATCATCGATCAATAATGTTTGGACGAACGACTCGAAAATACTGCTCCGATCAATTATTGACTAGTCCTTCGTGTGAACAAATCGATACTGCTCTAGTGAAATATCTTTTTGGAAAGAAAATTGATACCTTCTATTCAGAGTATCGGCGAATCGTCAACGTCAACACAATCCGAAGAGGAACGAACAATCTCACATACACAACCGGAGCAAGAAACAAAATTAGATGATCAGGCTATCCAC